AAATTTCATTTCATGTAATTTTAGCATGCCTTAGACAAAATTGATGTGTGTATGTGTGCGGATACAAATTTTCGTCGAATTCGAGCTCATTTGTCGAAACATTTGAATATTCAAAACAGTCGCTTTTTTAATTTTTAAAAAAGAAAATGCAATTTAAAAAAAAATTAAAACTCTCAAAACAGTCAATTTTGCAAAAAAATAGAGTAATTTAATTTTTTTTTCAAATTTCAAAAAAAAAACTCAACTGATTTAAACATTCAAATCTGTCACTCAAAATCGGAAAATTTACAAAAAAATTGAGGTTTTTTAAAAAATTTAAAGTACGGGAAGTTCTAGTAATTGAACACAAATTCAAAATTAAAAAAAAATCCAAAAAATCAAATTTTCCAACATTTTCACGATTTTCAAATGAATTCAAAATTTTCTGAGAAAATTGTAAATAAAAAAATCTAGCAATTATTTATAAAGCACATTGGCTTATATAATATGAGAAGTCATATTATTTCTATTTTTAGAGTGTTTGGAACCGAATTCTGGTGAAGAAAAACGATATGGGCATCGACGCAATTTGAGGCGACTTACGCCAGGCATTGTTTTCCCTGTTGGGACGACCCATCGTTCCAAGGCCGACTTTTGATGTCATCCTTACTGTACCCGACGGTAACTTTAAATTTAACACGTTAATTGCCATGTCAATCATAAATTTGTTACATAGAAAACAGTGTTGGAAAAAAAGCTAAAGTTTCCTTTAACTAAATTATCTAATAAGTCACCATATGGCCTATGAAGAAATTTGTCTGGCATCGTGGCGATTGACGTGTTAATGAATTTATTTGTCCCAAATGAATGTATAAAATCTATATTCAAATTATTATTTATCACCAGGGTTAACTGCACTATCAAACATGCCAGTAAAATCGCAAAGTGTATGTCGTGGAAGAAGGACATTGACATATGAAACGACACCGGTGATGTCGACTTATTTACTTGCTTTTGTCATCGGAGAATACGACTATGTTCAGGGCAAAAGTAAAGAAGGAGTGCAGGTAATAATCAAAATAATAAATCCATTCAATTCCACATATAAAGAAGCATAAATAAACCGCAAATACTCCCACTTTGCCATTACATCACTTCTAATTGTCACCCTACTCCATAGAGACTGATTGTAGCACGTAAATTTACCTTTAGGTTTAATTTTTTACAGATTCGTTGTTATACCCCGATCGGAAAACACGACATGGGCACCTTCTGTGTAGAAATCTCTGAAAAATGTTTGACCTACTTCAATGAATACTTCGACATCGAATATCCCATGAAGAAAATGGATTTGGTATCTGTTAATGAATTTAATGCTGGTGCTATGGAAAATTGGGGACTCATAACATTCAGGTGAAAAATTTACTTTCAATAGTTCCAGGTATTACATAATCATTTTTATTAATTTTTTAGAGAACGTTTAGTGCTGACAAACATCAAAGAATCGAATAAATTCGACTTGTTCCGAGTCGTGGCAACAGTCGGTCATGAAATTGCCCATCAATGGTTTGGAGATTTAGTCACTATGGAATGGTAAAAATAAACAAATATTTGAAATCTGGTTCTTGACCATTTTAAGTAATATATCATTTTTCCAGGTGGACACATTTTGGCTAAACGAAGGCTTTGCCACATTTATGGCAATACATATGCGTCAATGAAACGATTCCTGAGAGCGAAATTTGGACGTCGTTTGTGATGGATCCCTTCAACACGGGTAATAATTTTTTTTTTAATAATTTCCAAATTTTTTTAACAATATAACATTTTTTTCAGCCCTGACAGCAGATGCTATGGACAGTTCCCATCCCATAGAAGTTGAAGTTGGACATCCCAATGAAATTGATCAAATTTTTGACGTAGTTTCTTACAAAAAAGGCTCATCTGTGATACGAATGTTAGCCACTTTTGTTGGGGAAGAAAAATTCAGAGAAGGTAATTAGATTTTTGTTAATTGTCATATTTAGATATTTATTACTACTGCTTGATATCAAGTTTCATAATGGCAGGATATCAAGTTTCATAATAGTAACTTTATAGATACTAACGACTTATGCTTAAAAAAAATCTTCAATGAATTAAATTTAAAAAAGATTTTTGCAAAAAATATATATTGTAATACTTACTACCAATAATATTTTACTACCATTTTCTTCCAAAATCATTAAAAATTTTGTGAAAATTTCTTATTTCAGTTTTAAATGAAATATAGGGAACGTTATGAAAAACTTTTCATACTGAATATTGACAAAAGCCATGCGGTTGCTGTGCAGTCAGATAAAAAATCTATTCTACAAACCGCACAAATGTAAAAAAAAAAACGATGTTAGATAACAGGGTCTTTCTGACTCAACTTCATAACATACGAGTGACATTGCAGTTTATGTGCAAAACGCCTGAGCGCACAGTAAATACATGAAATTTTGACAGTTTTCAGTATGATTCGGTAGCATAATGTATGGAAGTTGGAGCATAACATGGCCTTGCCATAACATTTTTCAGTTATGCGACAGAATTGGTTCAATAATCTAAATTTTATTTTAATTTAGGTCTTAGAATTTATTTAAAAAGACATAAATATGGAAATACTGTGACCGAAGATTTGTGGCAAGCACTTGAAGAAGCCAGTTGTAAGCCAATAGGTAAGATTTTATATTATATATTTTTATTTTTTTCACCAAAATTCCTAAGGCCTACTCTCACAAAATTCTAATTGAATTCTTATCAGATTCAGAATCTTGTTAGATCCCTACAAGAATCTTTTTAGACTCTCTACAAAATCTTAAATCTCACAAGAATCGTATCAAAATGCTAATAGAATCTTATTAATTGCTAAGCATTTAATTAGAATCTCAAAAAAAATCATCCAATTCTCACAAGAATAATTGATCTAAACCTACAAGAATCCCTCTTAGACTCTTGACAGAATCTTAAATCTCGCAAGAATCCTATCAAAATCATCACAGAATCTTATTAGATTGCTAAAAATTTAATTGGAATTTCAAGAAAAATCATCCAATTCTCGCAAGAATCTTTCATTTAAACCAGCAAGAATCTAATTATCGTCTCAACAGAATCTTAAATCTCACAAAAATCCCTTCAAAATCCAAACAGATCAATTTTAGATTGCTAAAAATTTAATTAGAATCAAGAAAATCATCCAATTCTCACAAGAATCTTTCATCTAAACTTACAAGAATCTCATTAGACTCTCAACTTTTAGAATAATTGATCTAAACCTACAAGAATCCCATTAGACTCTTGACAGAATCTTAAAACTCACAAGAATCTTATCAAAATCCCAACAGAATCTTATTAGATTGCTAAGAATTTAATCAATATCTCAAGAAAATCATCACAAGAATCTTTTATCAAAACTTCACAGAATCATTTAAGATTTTGTATGGATTCTTATTAGGTCCGTATCAGTTTCTCACAAAATTCTTATCTCATTATCTCATTAGAATCTCATTAGATTACTATAATAAGATTATTTGATTCCTACAAGAATCTCATTAGACTAGACAATTGTGATTTGTGCTATATTGGGAAAAGTTCAATATTTATGTCTTTGGGAGGATGAATTAACTAAACACATTTATTATTTCAAAGACACTTTTAATACAAGATCATCCAAACATTCTTCAAAAAATATTGCATTAACTGGTTCCCTAACGGTATAAACAAATTTAGATTTATTTTTAAACATTTCACACAAAAAACCTAATTTCACATTTTTGTTATCAAAGAGACATAAAAAAATCACTTATGATAAAATTGTTACTTGTGCCTTTTGGAGGTTAGGTTTTATGTGTAAAATAGGTTTTTGACAGTTCGTAGTAATTATATTAATTCAATTTATTTTCTATAATTTTTTCCTATTGTAGCAAAAATCATGGGCATCACTACTTATGTTTATATAAGAAGAATTAGTTAATTTGAGATTCCCAGTGCTAAATAATTTAAAACTATGTTCTCTGAGCACATTAATTCTTTCAAACACACTTTTAATAAAAAATAATCTAAATATTGTTCATAAAGAAAAGAATTAAGCTGACCTTAAAAAAATGCATTAACTGCTTTCCTTACAGTATAAACGAATTTAGATTTATTTTTAAGCATTTCACACATAAAACCTAATTTCACATTTTTGTTATCAAAGGGACATAAAAAATATTCACTTCTGATAAAATTGTTACTTGTGCCATTTGGAGGTTAGGTTCAATGTGTAAAATAGGTTTTTGACAGTTCGTAATAATAATATTATTACTGTTTATTTTCTGTTTTTCTATTAAAGCAAAAATCATGGGCACCTGGACCAAACAAATGGGCTTTCCTCTACTCAACGTTTGCATGAAACAAGAAGGTGAAAATCGAATAATTACATTGATGCAAGAAAAATTCAATGCAGATGGCAGCCGGGATCAAAATCAGACCAAATGGATTATACCGATTAGAATCCTCACTCAAAGTTGTGCCTGCCAGGTAATAATCTACATATATATATATAAATAAGTCGAGATTTCCTTCCTGACAAAATAACTCCAGAACGCAAAAACCGAATACGACAATTTTGAATTTGTTGGAAAGTCTCGAAAATTAGTGGTGCATGGCATCGTGTCTTAATGCAAATTGCTGGAACTTCACGCACCGTAATTGAAAATTCGAGTAATGACATTAGTGAGAATTATCAGAATTATGCTTGGTTAAGTCAACGAGCAATTCTTGTCGCAAAGAATTATTATTTACACGCGCTGAATTTCACCATTCAATCAAAATTGCTGGCGATTTGGTGACATACCAATGATTCCGACTGGTCTTCCATTTGACTTCAAACGATTGCAATTTCCAGTTCGCCTCGCGTTCGTAATACCAAGTCGCAAGGCCAATCGCTTAGTGTTTGCGGGATAAATTTTATATAGATTATTCAGAAAATCATTGTTTTTCACATGGGCAGTTATACGTTGCCTGTTCACGAGTTGGGAAACCATCCGCTTTGTTTGTGTTAACGTCAGACCAAAAAACAAAAAATGTGGTTCACCAAAGTGCACTTCAATGAAACGGATAATTTGCGGATTCACTTTCATTTACTAAGAGAAGTTTAACTAAAAAACACTTCATTTTTGTAATCAAAATAAATTCATTACTGTTGTGTAATAAAATCAAATTTTTCCTTTTCAAATATAAAACAAACAAAAAATTACTTCATCTTTCTCACGAAACCATCTGGTGGCGAAACGGAGTTCGTCGGGTTTGCTAGTCTAATATAAAATCATTCCAAGCCATATTACGAGAAATCTGACAACAGGATTAAAAATCTCACCTCTGCGTTGTTGTCAGATTTTTAGAAATATGGCTTTAGTCAATTACTGATTATAAATTGTTCGCCCAGGATGACGATATTCCCACAATGGAAAAGACATGTATGAAAATCACTCTTGCCGGAGTAAAACCGGATGAATGGGTCAAATTGAATCCGGGGTCAATTGACTTTTACAGGGTTTTGTATACTGATGAAATGCTTGAGCAATTGATACCATCGATAAGAGATTTGTCACTACCTGTTGCTGATAGAATTAGTGTTTTGAATGATGTTTATGCCGTTTGCCAATCTGGCAGACAACCGATAACCCAGGTAAAAAACTATTTAAAAATTTATTTGGCTAGTGAATATGTACAGGGTGTCCCAGAACTCAATGTCAGGCCAAAAGGAAGGTATAGTTTTGGTTGTAACTATCATGAAAAAATTAGAAGAAAAATTGTTCAATGTATTTGGAAAATTGTGAGCTTGCAGGTGCGACCTAGAGCTTTTGTAGAACTGCAACAATTTTTTGGTTATTGTGGTTACATTTTATCAATTTTTTTAGTTTAAACTTTGTATTCGTAACCGTAAATAATATTTCTAAGACCACAGCCCAAAATAATGACACTGTTGCGCCAAGTTTTCCAAAAATCAACACTTTTTGTAGACCTATCACTTCAAAATTTTTACAATGTGTCAAGTTTGAGAAGCCCTGCTTTAAAAAAAATGTACTAAAGTATGTTGGCAAGTTACATCAAAATTTAGTGCATTTAATCAGGATTGTAAAATAGTAAAACACTTGATGCAGAGTGTCCCAGAACTCAACGTCAAGTCAAAACGAGATGCAAAAAAATTATTTCATGCGCTTGGAAAATTTTGAGCTTGCAGGTGCAACCTAGAACAGCGACGATTTTCTGCTTATTGTGGTTAAATTTTATTAATTTTGATCATATTAACTTTGGATTTATATTACTAAATAACATTTCTAGAACCTCAGTCCAAAATAATGAAACATTTGCCTCAAGTTTTCCAAGAATCAACACTTTTTCTTCACCTGTCACTTCAAAATTTTTACAATGTGTCAACTTTGAGAAGCCCTGCTTTTAAAAAAATGCACTAAAGTATGTTGGCAAGTTGCATCAAATTTTAGTGCATTTAATCAGGATTGTAAAATAGTATAACACTTGATAGTTTTGTAATAAAAATCTAAGAAATATTAACACGTTCACACAATGACGAGTTGAATGCACTGGTATTAACAATGTTATTTTTCGGTTTTTATTGTTTACTCAGGTTTATTATTGACATTACTATA